CTCTATATCGTGTAGGTCTGTCTGCAACACATACACACACATGCTGCTGCTGCTGCTGCTGCTGCTGCTGGTGTTGGTGCTGCTGGTTCTGCTGCTGCTGCTGCTGGTGTTGGTGTTGGTGCTCGTGCTGGTGCTGCTGGTGCTATTGCTGCTGCTGGTGCGGTTGTTGTTGCTGCTGCTGCTGTTGCTGCTGCTGCTATTGCTGCTGCTGGTGCTGGTGGTGCTGTTGTTGCTGCTGCTGCTGTTGCTGCTGCTGCTGGCGCTGATATACATACGACTCATGTAATGTGTGCAGATTCTACTGATGCTGCTGCTGCTGCTGCTGTTCGTGCTGGTGCTGCTGCTGCTGTTGCTGTTGCTGCTCTACCTACAGCTACAGTGGTGCATACAGTTGCTGCAGCAGCAGCAGCAGCTGCTGCTGCTGCTGCTGCTGCTGCTTGGTGTGTCTTACATTCCAGGGTGCTTTTTTCTGTTCTCTGCGGGTGCGGCGGCCAGCCGGGCTGACGCTGCGTGCTGCAGTTCGCTGCTGCTGCTGCTGCTGCTGCTGCTGCAGCATCTGCTGCTGCTGCTGCTGCATGCGTTGCAGCTGCAGCCGCTGGTGTCTCTCTAATAGCTGCTGCTGCTTCCTGTGAAGCTCCTGCAGCTCCCGCTGCAGCACAACTCGTTTATCAAGGGGCCCGCGTCGTCGCTCTGCTGCTGTTGCTGCTGCTGCTGCTGTTGCTGCTGCTGCTGCTGTTGCTGCTGCTGCGCTAAAGGGTACCTGAGGCTCCATAGGGTCCTCGTGGTGGCAGCAGCAGCAGCTGTTGCTGCAGCTGTCTTCGTCTTCTACTCCTTGCTGCTCATCCTCCCACTGTACATCTCCTGCTGTTGCTGCTGCTGCTGCTGCTGCTGCTGCTGTGCTGCAGCAGTCGCATGCAGCAGCAGCAGCAGCAGAAGCAGCAGCAGCACAGTCATCTCCACTGGGCAAGCAGCAGCAGCCGCAGCAGTCTTCATCGCCGCAGCAATCTGCTTCTCTGTCTGACTGCAGCAGCTCAGCCCCTATGTGCTGCTGCTGCTGCTGCTGCTGCAGCTGCTGCTGCAGCAGCTGCTGCTGCTGCTGCTGCTTCCCTTTGCCTCTGTGGTGTCTGCTTGTCTCTGCTGCAGCATCAGAGTAGTTCGCGCTGTTCACCTGCCACGTATTTTCATCTACAAACACATGCTGCTGCTGCTGCTGCTGCTGCTGCTGCTGCTGCTCAACAGCTGCTGCTGCTGCTGCTGCTGCTGCTGCTGCTGCTGGGCTCTGGGGGCCCTTTGATATGAGGCTGGAGCGCCGGGGGGACAGAGCGAGGCCCCGGGGGTATGGCCTCC